CCTAAACCCTAAAACCCTAAACCTCGGAGCAGGCTGAGAGTTCCACCTCGGAGGGGCCGATGCCTTTGCCTCTCAGCCCTCCAAGAGCTCCCCGGCGGCGGCGCTGTCTTGCGGGTTGTAGGTTTTAGGGCTTTAGGGTTTAGGCTTTTAGGGTTTCGGGTTTTAGGGTTTAGGATTTTAGGGTTTAGGGTTTAGGGGTTTAGGGTTTAGGGGTTTAGGGTTTAGGGTTTTGTTGTGGAAGGGTTTCTTTAGGGTTCTAAAGGGCTGCCCAGAGGGGGCTGTAGGGTTCTAGAGTGTGCTATATTTTGGTTTGTTGAAGGTTCTCTTTTGGGTTCTATGGGCTTCAAAGGTCTTTGAAAGGGATGTTGTGCAGTCTTAGTGAGGCTTTGGAGCCTTGCAGGTGGAGGGTACCGGTGTTTGAGGGTTTGAGAGGGTTTCAGGGGAGCTAGTGCAAGAGAATTCTGTTGGTGACTTTTACCTTCACTGGCTAGATGGGCTCTTCTGTTTCGATTGAGCCACGGTTTAGGGTTTAGGGTCCACTTCCCATGTCTTTCATACCCAGGGAGATTCTATTAGCTGTTTAGCAAAGCAAGGCCAAACTGCCCAACGACTTGAATCCGACTTTCCCCCCAATCAAAACCCTCAACCCTGTGCAAAACCCGTGAATCCCAGCTTCGCGTTTGGAATAGTTGCGAAACATGTACGTATCTTTTGGTTCCTATGGTTGTAACCATGGCAAAATATGCCGTCAGACCCTACGCAGATTCTGGCATCCTATTCTAAGTACAAGCATTGCGTCAGTCCCCGTTTATCCTAGACCCTGAGCCTTGAAAACTAAACACCCTACACGTTAAGTCAACACTCAGTCAACACGTCGTCAACAGCTAAAAGGCTGGAAAATCCAGCATTTTTTCTGTTCTGAACATTGAAAAGCTAAAAAGCTATACCCTAAAGCCCCTAAACCCTAAACCCTATACCCTAAAGCCCATCGATTCCTGGTTGGTGCATCCGAGATGCTCATGTCCTCTGCATCCTCCTCCGCCGATGGGGAGGCGACGCCCCGAACCCTAAGCAGCATAAACCCCCACAGCCTTACGGAACCCCATAGTGCTCCTTTGAAGGAACCCTGAGCCCTAACCCCCATAACCTTACAGAGCCCCACAGTGCTCCTTTAGAGGAACCCTGAGCCCTAACCCCCCATAACCTTACAGAACATACAGAGCCCCATAGTGCTCCTTTAAAGGAACCCTGAGCCCTAACCCTAAACCCTAAACCCTGATAACTTCAGCCGCAAGACCCATGGTAGGGGAACCCTGTCCCGACCCAAAATCTTAGGATTCCTAGAAAGAACCCATTACATAGAGACCCAGGGTTGCTAGAATCAGGTTCTGAAAATCCCTAAATAGGCTTTAGGGTTTAGGGTTTAGGGTTGCTTAAATCAGGTTCCGAAAATCCCTAAATAGGGTTTAGGGT